TCGCAGGGGTATCCATGGATACAATGAACTGAAAGAAAATAGACAGACCTCAAAATGGATATTAAAAATACAATTGAAAGCAAAGTAAGACAGCATGGCAATGAAAGCTTCTTGGGAGTTAGAAACCATATATAAAAAAAAGGATGTCTATGTGTCAAAGATCATTGGTCCATTATACAAGTTACCACTTGAGCCCTTTCAATCTCACATAATAAAACAGTTAGGGATAAGGTTTACTTGTCTATCGCCTCTTACTTTTGTTTCTCCTTTTTCTTTTCCTTTTCCTGGCCCATCTCTACAAGTTCAACTATAAAACTAATGTTAAATAGCAATACAATAATTTAAATTGGTACTTTCACTCCTTCTTGGGCAGTAGCAAAGAGTTGGATCATACATACTAACAGCAAATCCATGAATAAGGTACACAAAGAGATTAACATAACAAATTTAAGATGCTCAAGTGATTGAAAATGCATATATCAATATAATTTACTTTATATTAAAAAAAAAAGTGATTGAAGGTGCAATATGGGTCAATATATGGAAATTCTTTTTTGGAAATATTAAGAAAAAAATAATACTACTGTTTTTAGTTCATTCCTATCAGTTCTTTTTTCCAGTGACAAATTAACAAAGAGATACGTATATTTACTTCCATCTGAAAAGGCATATTAAAAGAGAAGTTTCAACTGGCTCCTGCCTGGATAAATTTATCCACTTATCAACATATTAAAGCACAAAGAACCTTTCCCCACCCCTTGCTAGTGTAGGCGTGCTCCCCTTTTTTCTCCTTGGAAGTTACTCAAGAGAAGAATATTCAAGAAAAAAACCATGTAAAGAGAAGTGGTCAGGAATAGGGTGAGAGTCCATGCAAGTAATTAGATCCAAAAAGAGCAGGTAAACATCTCTTGTTCGACAGCATACTCAAACAAACATTTCTAGCAAAAAGAATACCTTTCAGCAATAGATCGGGCTTTCTCAACATCAGCCAAAGAGAGCATGAAGGCCATGTATTTTATCCAAACAAAACTGCTATTAGGAGAACTTCTGACCAATTTCTCAAATTCATCAGCAGTCCTAGGGACATCCTTCTCCAGCAGTCTTTCCTCAGCAACTCTAATTTCTTGCTCCCTGCACGGGTTTTGCTCTCGAAATGAGTTAAGAAATATTTACACAGACAATCACAAATACTGAACTGCAAAAAGGCTAAATTGAAATAACCTCTCCTCCTTTGCTTTCTTCTTTTCCCATCTGTCCTTCCTCTCATCTACGGCATCTGCTTCTTTAATAAGTTTTTGACTTTGACAAGGTAAATTATCATCCTCAGAATGCTCTCTGTCATCAAGAGTGACATCAAGGGGAGGAACTGAGGCCCTTGATTCCATTTGTGCAAGAACCAGGGATGCTTCCTTTTCACATAAAGCATCTGTCATTTGGACCCCATTTGCACCACTTTCCTGAAACGTAATGTTGCCCTCACCAGAACCATCTTCTGTAACAGCTTCCTTAGACTCTTGTTTTGGAGACATCTGAAGGTCAATATTATCCCTCAAATATGACCCCTTCATTCCAAGAGAAACCCGGTGTCTTTCCTCATCCACCTAAAAATAGGGACAAACATCATATATTTTCACAAAAGACGAATGATCCGAATCCCACTACTAATAGGGTGAGATCACATTCAAACTAACTTTCAGCTACATGATGGAGAAAAGTTATTGATCAGGGAACAAAAGAAAACTTCAGGAGGGATAATGGTGAGCATCTCCCTCTTTCTTTTTTTTTCAGAAAGAAAAATGACAATGAGCATTCATTATTATAATCAGGTTTTGTTATGACATCAAAGGGCAGCAAGCTGGCAATCAAACATAGAAAAAGATATATTAGTTATTCTTTAGGATATCTTAGGCTGTGATGTAGGATGAGTAGTGGTTAAACTAATTTGTCCTACAGAGTTTAAAAAAAAGAAAAAAGAAATTTCGATGAGAAGAAGAAAATATAGATAGGCCAGAGGAAATTATAAACTGAGTCTATCATTTGGCAGAATCATAACTGAAAAAACAAAGACAGAGATAACAGAGAATAAAACCCCAACAAAGAGCAAAGAGGTTCTCAATCCATCAGTATCTCCCTTATTTTTTTACTGATAGCTATTATCTTTCTAGAGGCAGTAAGTACAACTAAGAAAAAAATTATAAAAGAGAAATCTAAAAGATTCTAATGCCTATCATACCTAAAATCTACCTAAGTAGAAAATTAAAATATTATAATACATAATTAAACCTAAATAACCTAAAGTACTAAATAATAATTATTATTATAAAAAATTCTTCAGTAGAAACTTTGTTACAAAATAAGATGTTCTTGTTCTGCATTTCTGTGGTTGCACAATCCAATTTTCCAAAATAAAACACATTTTTTAAAAATGTTGATTTTCAAAAGTAAAAGTTCCATGAAATTCATTTATCCTAAACACACTGCTAATACCCATAGTATTTAAGGAAAGTTATGGAGCAGATGAACAGCTCACTATTATTTCCAGTTTACAAAAAAATATTCACCTTCAATATCTTTGCTTTAACGTTCTCTCCAGCACTGTATCTCGCCTCAATTTTGTCAATATGATCATCAGATAGCTCAGACACATGGCATAATCCAACCTACACAAAAGACGCGCAGATCCATATCAACACTCAAAACATATATTGAGAACATAGATAGTTTGAAGTAGACAAAAAGAACAGCAATCTCTTGGCTGAAGACAGAACTAGCATCAAAACTACAGAAAAACCACAGAGATTTTAGCTTAACTTGCAAGACTCTTTTTCTTGGATAGAAAGAGAGTAGTGCCCATTGAAAGATTAACTGACATCTAGGTCTCTGTTTACATCAAAAGGAACATCTCACTGTTCTTACCATGTTTGTGTTTTCAATTGTAATAAATAGACCATACGGCTCCACCCGCTTAATCCGGCCAGAAATTATATCTCCAGCGTGCAGGCTCCTTAAATCATTGATATGAGATTTTGGTGCACCGCTGGCATCCAAGGTTTTCAATGTCACTTCAACTCGCTGAGATAGAGGCTCCACGCTTAGAACCCTGCAGTTGAGCTTCTCATTATGTATAGTGCCGCACAATACCAGAAAACATAATTCCGTATGAGTATCAAAAGGTATTTATATGGAACAGAATATATACCTCCCAGTAACAAGTTTACCAATAGGAAATTCTTTTTCAGGGCTGTCAACAAAACCATCAGATAAATTTGATAGAAGAACCTTCGCGTCAACCTTCCGCGAAAGCATAATAAAACATCCTTTCGACATAACATTCTTCACATAACCCTGGAAGTGCAAAACACATAAACAAGCCAGCAAGGTGAGATTTTCTGTGTGAAAAACAAAGATGAAAATGACGTACTCAAGACTCTATCTTGTGATTCAGCAAAAAAATACACCAATGAAAGAAAATATAGTCTTTCTCAAACCCAATACAAAACTATTCTCCTCAAGTTTGTGATGATGTATGTTTCTTCCCAAGTAAAGGTTGCATTAATCAATATCAGAATGCCTGCTAAAAAGGGTTACTACAATGCCTAAGGTTCAAAAATAAACATCATGCACATGTAACCATTTCAAACATGAAACTAACATCAATCTTAATAGGCCATTCATACACGGCCGAATTTTCAATGGCTACCTGAAGAAAATATTTTGCTATAAATTATCATGATAATAAAAAGAACAACTAAAATTTGTAGAAATTGAGGTAGAGAATACCATTACCTGCACAACCCTATTAGAAGATAGGCCCTCAATACGCTCAATACGCCTGCTAGGATTATCACTACAAACCATATAGCAATTCATTATGAGTAATTATCTCTCTACTCTAGAAAAATTTCTCAAGCTGATAAATTGTCCAAGAGAATGGAAGTCTATAATTTGAAGAAATATATCAACCAAGTCTGCAGAAGCATGTTTTTTCTCACACAGAAATCCAGTTCTTCTATTCAAAAAAATGAAAAGCAGGTTTAAGAATTTTAATCATTGAAAGGGCTTACTTTCAAACAAACATTATCAGAGTAATTTCATGCAGCTTCATAAGCGTCCTAAGAAGTTCTTAGAAACGTGTAAAAAACGAACTGCAAATAATCATTGACTTACACGTCGATGCGAGGTTCAGAGGAATTCCGGCAAAGCATACCATCTAAAGATGAACGTAATGATAGATCAACATGAACAGTCCCCTTGACTGAGCGACCAATTTCTAGGACCTTGCATTTGACAAACTGCCCTTCATGGTACGCAGATATTGGATCAGGGACCCATGAGTCTTTAAGTTCAGTAAAGTGAACCTTTCCATATGTGTAAGGACCAATTTGCACAAGTAATCCACCAACACCTGCCAGTATTTTGGAAATTCTACCACCCAAAATATCTCCTCCATGAATATGAGCAGTTACATCCTCACGAAACACATTATTGTCTAATTTATCCATCTTCCTATCTTTTTCACCAATCAGTCTATGAGAATTGCCTAAAGGACGTTGAACTAATCGCAGCAGATTCTTCACTTTGTTTGCAGTTAAAACATTACCAGAGACAACCCTCCCCACATAGAAACGTTTCTGGAATTCTTCAAGTTCATTAGGTTCACATGCAGTGTCAAGAATAAATAGCTGAGCCCTCACATGTCGAGAAACTGTTAACCAAGCCCATTCACTGTCCACCTTATAAACATATCCAGTGATGCTTTGTCCAGTTGCAAACTCAAATTTCTCAGTCTCTACATCACCCCCCACCTCAATGGAACCTGAACACAATTTCCAGCAGACAGCAACTTGATGATAATTGACAAAGAAGTAGCAATGCTTTTATAAAAATCCACAAAGTTTAATGTCTTCCATATTCTCTAAGTCTTATTCAACAAAGATAAACAAAACTGTTCCGGTATTCCTGAAATTTATGTTGAATGATAAATAGTTGGCAAAAATACAAAGCAACAACTATAAACCTAAGTGCACCAGTTTGCCTAGACAGTTAGATGGATTCAGCCAAATAATGGATCCAGAGTGAAGCTGCGGTAAAACCAAAACTTCTGTAAGATAGTAGCTAGCTTTCATAAATTTGTGCATTGCAGATTTAGCAAAATCATGGATTCTGGCGAAACTGCAGAAAACCTGCAGATCTCATTCAGATAATATCTAAATGCAGAAGATTGTGCTTTTTATGATCGTTATTTGTCATTTCAGGAGATATGGGATAGCCTGACATTTTTGGCTACCTTATGGACCAAAGCTCACATGAATTACTCCAATCATGCTCTCACTAAGATGGATCCTTTTCATCTATATATATCTCTTTTAACTACATTTTAGATTCTTTTTCGACATTTCGAGGATGCCTTATTTTCTGGTGATTGCATTCGTCTCTTCTTATTCCTAATAATACTTCCTTTCTATCAAAAGAATAAAAAATGCACCCTGGTACAATTCTTATTTCCCTGAAAAGCACTTATCCAATGCTTGGCAAACCATGTATATAGTCAGTGTAAGCTTTGACCAACAGAAAATCAAGTTCTGAAGAAATACTTAGGGAAAAGTTCAACCACTTTACCACATCATCATCTTTTGATAAAAACCTGCCAGATTATCACTATATGAGTTTGGTAACAAAAGGTATAGTTGTCCTACCAAAACAAATACTCAAGGTTTAACCTGTTTATAAAATATTCCCTGATGATCGAACATTGAGACATTCTCTTCAACGTGTTAGATTTACCCGAAAGAACTTTAGGTTTTATTGACGCCAAACAATCAGATAATCAAATATTCCCTGATGATTGAACATTAAGACATTCTCTTAAACATGTTAGATTACCTGAAAGAACTTTAGGTTTTATAGACAGCTCCCACCGGCAGCCTCTTTTATTATCTGATCGTTTAGCCTTTGCAACAATCCTTGCAGTTACAGTTTGCCCAATTCTGAAGTCACTAAATGGCTCTTCTGAATCATTTGAATCATTAACCTGCCAACGAGACAAGGTTTAGTTGTGCTTGGTAAAAGCTTCACAGATGATGACAAAAACATTTCATGAATTTTACCTCTGTTATATGAACCCGCCCATGGAAGCCAATTCCAAATTTCACTCTTAGTTCAAGAGGCTTGATTTCAATAATCTGAACAAAAGTTACAGTTAAAGCATGCTTTGTCAACTGAAAAAGTATACATATAATCATCCTTTAACAATCAACAAAGTAACATTAGTTTTTCTAAAGAAAAGTTTGATATGACCCAATAAGAGAATATTTTTAACATGAGAAGGAAAAGATGTAGGCACAAATATGCGAACACTTACCTCAGCCTGCACCAGTGATCCAATACTGTAGGTGGACTTCCTTTTGGCCCTTTTTGAACTGGATGTCTCAGAAACCGCACTTGATTTAAGAAGCAAAAGCAACCTTCCTGCAATTGAAGGGCTTGGAAGAGCCACAACAGTGGCACTGACACTGCAACAAGTGAGCCAGTTAAGTCACCCTCAGCCACAGGTGCATTCATTGATAACCACGTGCAACAAAAATATTATGGAAATTCTGATAGAAAATAATAAGAATACAAGATAATTAACAACGCAACAGTTTTTTGTGAGTTATTTTGGAAAAAGGACTTTGATTCAAAGGTAAGGATTGTGGCAGCCTATGCAAGGGCCTTCCCCTACACTCTGTGGCCCTGGCTCTTGGAAGGAACAAACAACAGAAACTCCTGGTTTTCTTCTCATTGGAGCATATGATAGTATTGGCCGAAGGATATTGTTTATTTTTATTTTCAACTGGGAGTGGAGGTGATAGGTGCCCATGACTGCTCACAGTTGTTACCAAAGTGTTGAATGTTTGGAACCTCTGAATCCCCTTATTAAACGTAGTTGCTGTTGTGCTCCAGTTGACAAAACCAATGAGCTTAGGTGCGTGTGTTAGCCATCCAACAATTGGAGTTGCCTTTCCTTTAACTAACCAAGATTTGCCAAGTGGACAAGAATCACTAGGAAGGGTTAAGAGAAAAATTATTTCCTCAGAACTCTCAAGTCAAAATCAATTGTTCACAGAGGTCAAAAGATCAGGTAAAAGATGGCCAAAGATTGATATGAACTCAAAATGTCAGGGTGAAACTTCTTTATAAAAGTAAAGAGGTTGATAAAAGGAAAAAAAAACAGATAGTACAAAGCCTCATGTTTCTTTCATGCCCAAGATTTCTTTAAATCCAACCCCTAATGCCTCCACTTCTATGGTTTCTAGTTCTCACATTGGATTCCAGAACAACATGAGACCTAATCAGACACACAATACTAGACAGTTAGATTTCCCTGTGCATGCCACTGCTATTGAGGTCTGGATCCTGCAACATAAGGAGGTTAGTGTCTGCAACTCGAAGCCTCTGGATAATACTCCCGTCACTCAGACAAGGCATGCATGTGGCTCGGAACAGGTGGAGGGATGTGCAAGTGAAGCAAGTATTAAGAATGTTCAATCTTTAGCTTGGGACCTGGTGTTGTTGAATGCTGAGCAGGGAGGGAAAAACCTGACTGGGGCACTAAGTTGAAGGAGGATTTTGACCTAGGAGGGATTTAGATATTAAGGAAGGCGAGGAATTTTTTATGAGCTTGTTTTCTTGTTTTTGGTGAAAGAGTTGGTTCTCAATGGTATAGTGCAGATGCACTCTTTTTGGACGTTCTTGGGCACTTTGGGGTTGAGGAGAAGAGCTTGGAGACATGCACAAGCAAAACACCTAAAAACAAGAGAGAAAAGAAGAAGGGAGACATAATTGGAGATATGGAGACAACAATATTGGAATGGACTCTAAATTACTGCAAAAACAACAATGGGGATGCCATAGAGGGAAAGGTCGAAGGCCCTGAACGATAAGAAGAGACCACTTATCAAAAATCTGTTTGATAATTAGAAAGTGGTGCTTGTTTTGTTTGAAGGAAACAACATTTAAGCCACGTACAACAGGCTAGTTAAATGCCTTTTTCAAAATAGGGGTGGCTTTCTGAATTTGTGGAACATTGTAAGTCCTCAAATTGATCGACATTATTGTTGTGCTTCTCTTTATCTCATGCTTACAAGATGGTAGATTCAATGCAGCTCTCTCTCAAGGTGTCCGTGTGTGGGGAATAAAATGAGGTATTGAACATTGCAGGAACTATGGCAAATGGAGTTCTTCTTGGTGATAGGAGACTCTAATATGGTTTTGCATGCTTCTCAGAGGTCTGGTGATATCTTCAACGCTCCTAGCTCCCTTCATTTCTCAAGATTCATTGGTGGTCATAAGCTGCTGGATCTACCCTTTTTGTGGGTAAGATGGACTTGGGTCTACTTTGGAGGAGTCTCCCACATCCCAATTTATCTTTATGGGCATGGCGCATAGCCTTTTACGAGAAACATCATCCAAGCACACAATCTCTCACGATATAAAAAAAAATTGTGGGGTCATCCTTTTTAGTTTCAAAAGCATGTAGCTCAAGGCAAGGGGTACCAGAGAAAGGGCCTCTAAGTGGTAGATGGGGCAAAACCTCTTAGGACATTGGACTTGTGTGGTTATCCATACACTAGAATAGATGAAAGAAAAGCCTAAACTCTAGCATCAGGTTTCTTTTAACAATACCCATATTAGAAAAGGAGGAAGACCCCGTTTTGCTGGGCTTTTGGCTTTGACTTTTATGTTTCAAAAAAGCTTTTGCAACTAAACAAATAAAATACGAAGTACTTTTGTTTGGCAAAAGTCAAAGTCAAAATCTGTTTTAATAAGTTTAAATACAAAAGTTACATGCATAATTTTTAAAAGATGACTTTGGTTTTTACTAAACATTTACATTTGAAATCTCAAAAGTCATTTCTAATGAATACACAACTTTTTGCTTTTTAAAAATGACAGCACTTCTACAGCTATTTCGACCAAACACCAAACAATTTTTGACTAAAAGCTGTTTTAGTGAACAACTATCTTAACAACAGTTTTAAAACTGACAACACAAGCAACATCTGCTCCAATCGCCTACTTAGTTGGGCCACTAGTGCTTTGGATGGGATTGCTTGGAAGAGGGGCACCTGAGCTCGGATTTGGCTAGGGTCCTTGGGTTGGACCAGATCTTTTGGCAACAATGGTCTGAAGAAAGGCAGAATAATAGCAATAACTCCCACTGCCATGAAACTCTCAGAGGGGTGCAGCTGATGCATTTGTTGGATATCAAAGACTACAATGAAGCAAATGGTCTCTCCTGAAGCTATTAAGGGCTAATATAAGTTGTGCACTAAATTCCATCAGTGAACTCTGTTGATGGTATTACCACAATTCCAAAAATATAAAAAACAGGGATTGGAAATCTATATCTTTGCACAAGTAGCACACTTCTTGGCTTGTGAACACAATTTTTTCTTATTACTGCACGGTAGCTAGATCCAAACAATTAGATATTACTGCACAGTGGCTAGATCCAAACAATTAGATTCCCTATTTCTGAAATGCAAAAAGGCAAAAGGCAAGCATCAAAAACAAGAGAAAGGGAATCAGAGCAGAGACTATAATCCCCGAGCAAATTTCTAACCAATTCAGGTGGCAACATTGAAGAGATTAGAGGGAAAAAGAATAAAACCATGCTCACCTTTGTCTATTTAAAAACTCTCTTCGTGGCAACTTCTGCGTGTTATAGTCTGATATCGAAGCATATCCTATAGCATAGTTATACTCTGGAATCGACAGAACCTGATTTAAGAAGAAAAATAGTTGAGAAATGCTTGAAAATGTTTATTGCAAGATATCACATGACAAAATAATAGCATCAAACACTTGCCAAGTAATGCTCCTTCACTATTTCCACAATTGCATTCACTGTCTGATACAACTCCAACTCCTTCGGTTCTTCCCTTTTCCGCTTCTAAAATCAAGGATGGTTTAATTAGACCAAGTTGAAAAGTTCCAAAAATTGCAATAAATTCTTTTCTTCTGGCACTATTCAGATTTATATCAAATCCACATATTCAATGTGGTAAACAAAAGCATCATAGTAAATCAGTAAGAGAGGCAGGGTGAAAAACCTTAACCTTCTTAGCTTCTTTGCGAGATTTCTCTTTCTCTGATTTATTAATGAACTCGGGCTTCAGAGATAATTCGACAAGGCATTCAGTCTTGCCAACATCTAAAACCACAGCCTCAACAACAGAGCCTGGTTCCAAAATATTTCCAGGTGGTACTGCAGATATTATAATTTCTTTGAGGTTACTGATAGATAGCTAAGAGGAAAACAACTACTTAAATAAAATTTCACGAAGCATACATTGATTATGGGCAATAAAACCAACAACATCGCTATATTCCTCGAAACTGACAACAATTCCAACATCCTTTGCCTCCAGTACTCTTCCCTCAACAATGCTGCCAATTTCAAATCCTTCCAGCCACTTTAACCCGGAACTCTTAGAGCCTGATAATTGCAGCTTAGTAATCTGGATAAAAGAATGAGATAAGTACATGATTATCACAAAGTACTGATAGAAAAGATGATATGTATCAGAATCTTATATGGCTTCTGACTAATTAGTGCAATTTGTAAGATGACACAAAATATGCAATTTTGCTTGATAATAATGAAGCATCACTAGGAAGCAAATGAAATGGACCATGATGAAGGCCTATTTTTTAGAAAATAAGTATTATTAGAACACGAGAACAGGATATCCCTTAGAAATCGAGAATAAAAGGAATCTGAGATGCCAGATGGGCCGGAACAAAACAAAGTAAACCCAATAAAGAACAGACAGCTAGTTCCTATATAAAAGAGGCAACAAAATATCCTTGTACAGCCCGTGCGTTTTAACACAAAGGAATATTAAAAAGTCACCTTCTCCCGCCATCAAAGCCAAATTTAACTAAGACCAAAAAGAAAAAGGGCCAGTAATAACAAAATAGGCATCATAGCATATTCTTCAAATGAGATTACCTTTTCATCCAACAGAAAATATTCTTGTATAAAAGATGCATCTGTTGAAGAGCAGCATGACTGCTTCAGCGAAAGTGTTACTCTACCTGCATCAGCATTAACCTAAAAGAAAAATAAGTGATCATAAATCAGAAAGAATGTGCAATTTCTTTTTTTTTATTTTGGGGTGCAGAGGGGTGGGAGATAGAAGAAGAAACATTCACTAACCTCAAGTACATTACTGCGAACAGATTGCCCAATGTAAAAGGCTTCTGAAATATTAACTTTCAGTTCATCCATTGCCTTCAAAAGAAAAGGAAAATGCCAAAGTCTCAATTGACTAAAAGTCATATATAAATTAATAAAAGCAATTAAAATAAAACGTAATAAGAAGAACACTTACCTTGCTTCTCGGGGAGAAACCAGTTAAACGACCAAGAAAACGAACAAAGCAACCCGTCTCAATCAAGTTACAGATATACCCCTGGTTCACTCAAAAGCAGTAAGAATCAATTACACTCTTTCTGCAAACAAGCTTAGCAACCAGTTATATCAGTGGCCAAGTGGCTCCAGTTACTTACATGAACAACTGAGTTAGGGCGAATCTGGCTCAGATCAGAAGGAAGGTCTTGAGCTGAATTGACAAGGGAGTTCTTTGCGGACAGTAGTAAATTGTTGCCTTCAATATCTGAAGAAATCAGGAAGAAAATTTTCTAACTACTACCATTAATGTTAGGACAAGAATCATTAAGTCTTCTTGACACACTCAGCTTCTGTTTTTTCTTTTTGGCTGGGAAGGGGGAAGAGCAGAAAGAGGCGGGACAGTACAGGGAGAATATTGCACTAACAGAAACAGGAAGAAAGCTGGAGGTTTATCATCAAATAATTCCTTCAAGAAAGCACATATAACCCAGACATCCACATAAAAGAAATTCTTTCAGAAAACACAAACCACAAACGAAAATAGCTTATAGAAATATTAAAAGAGAAAAGGAGGAAGATGTAAAATATGCTGAAATATTGATACGGAAAATAACTTACAAGCATACCTAGTATTAGTAACTGATCAAACTCATATCCAGGCTTTAGAACCGACTTCATCAAAGTTGCTTGCTCTACAACCATAGATACTCAACGAATACCATTAAGCAAGAAGACAAACCAGAACTAAAACTAGTGCAGAAATAAATTCAAGGTAAAAGAGAGACGCACCATGTCGATCTGCCAAATGTTCAGTAGAAATTGTACCCTTTAAGTAACCGTTTGAATTAACACGAACAATTACTGCATGGGGAGTAACAATATCAACAACTCCGGAAATAAGGCTACCTAACTTGATTGCATCATCTTCAGAAACCCTGTATGAAATTTCAGACAAAATTTATAGTCAAAATTTATGAAAAAAGCAGGACATAAAAATCCAAGACTTGTAAACTTCACCATGGAGCCCTGAATGCCTGACTCATCAGATATATGCATTCACTCAAACTAGGTGGGAAGTGACAGCCGACAGAATTTATCACAACCTCCTGCCACATTTTTGTTCCTTTTGTGTGTGTGTGTGTGTGTGTGTCTTGGTGGCAAGATAATGGGTCATAAGTAGGCATCGGATACCAACAGGGTCCACCCATCTGGCTAAAGAGCCTTCCCATAGAAGAATACTTTTGTCAATGTATTCTCTTATATTATTCTAAACAAAAAAGTTTGTTTCCACAAGGAAATACAAAAGCATCAACCTAAAGATTAATTGTTGAAGTGAACAAACCTTAGAGGCTTTGTTATCAAGCTAAGGTTGATCCTCCGTAAAGCAGGAACAGAACCAGTTATTCTACATTTGACAACTTCTCCAACATGATGCAAAGAACTTGGATCACTCCCAGGTTCTAGCCCAAGTTCATGTCTGCTTCAAAATGAAGAAAAATCAATTAGCTACTTCTGATAATTAAACTGAAGAAGGAGCTGATTTTATATAGGAAAAGATAGAACCTTGCTGTCACCAGAGAAGAAGATGATAAAGACTCTACATATTAGATAAACAGGAAGATAACTACAAAAAACTATAAGCCCTTTAAACCAGAAGCTCTACAGATGGAGCCATTAGCCTCTTCGACCAGATAGAAAGGACTCCATAACACCAAAAACTCTCTTCTTCTAGCATTCAAATCACCCAAGAAAAGCAAACTTGGAATTAAGGCAACTGTTGTCATTGACTCTTTAGAAACTTCAGCTTCCACCAAGTCCCACCCACTTCAAACCAACAAAAAAGAAGAAAGACAAATCTAGATTTCCAATTTTCCTCAAAACATGAAACATTCTATGCCAGAACAATATGAAAAATGCAATAAAGCCCATAAGCAAAAGCCAAGTGGCAACAGCATCTATTCATACAACCAGAAAGGAAGGAAAAAAGCAAAGGAAAGAAAAAACAAGATGATAATAAGTAAAAGCAATTTGTATAGTAACAGTGAGCAAAAGCGGAGCAGTCTAAACCATGAAAAACCATGAAAACAGGGTTACGGGAGACAACAAGGAACAAATAAGCTAGCACCTCTTAGAATAAGTCCAAAACATTATAGAGCGGAGGAAATTTAACATGCCACAGAGGGATCACAACATACAGAACAGAAGTAGAAGAATCACAAATAGAAGTAAGCATCTATACATATCCATGTGAGCATAGTTATAGTAACTGTGATCTAGATCTTGTGAACTAGCCTGGGAACAAATCCTTGGACTCCATTATAAAACCGGACAAAGCATCCATGTTTTTCAATCTTTGTTATCCATCCATGTGTCAATAACCCGTCAGTTGCATCTGCGTATGAACTTAAAATTGGAAGTTTCGATTTCACCTGGAAAAAGTAATCCATAATAAGTGTCAGCATTAGAATGGACAGACTGCTTACAATAAAGCACAAATCACAAACTTGAAAATTTGTTGAAGTTTTGTAAACCAAATGGACATGTGGATGTCAATATTGAGCGAAAATTACAAATAAAAATTTATCCAAAAAGATTCACTTATTAGTTAAAGATTTATTGTTGAATATATATTCTTGTTACTCAAGTAGCATGTAAAACTAACAGAAAAAAGGGCACCAATAAGATTGGGCACTATCTCAAGGCACAAAAATAGATATGCAAAGAAAGAGGTAACCATGGAAAGTAAAATCAGCAATTGCTTTTAAGGTACTAGTGTGTGAGCTACATATAGTATTTTTGACTTAACACTAACTAACCAGAAACAAACTATGAAAGTAAAATCAAGCATAATCAAATGCAGAAAATTAAAAAAAAGACTATCTTAAAGCCTCAAAACACGATGGCAGCAGATATGACCCTGAGGGAGTGGAAGGGATGTATTTTTAATGAAAAATTGGCAGTCGTGGTGAAAATAGAAAAGAGAAAGTTAGTTATACTAGAGGACCAAAAAGACTTAAGTAAAAAAGAAACTCGATGACCAAAAGATAAAATAGAAAAACACATTGGATGCTGTTTTATTAAATAAATGTACAACAATATCTTTGTTACAAACAATAACTGCTCTCCACGATGATAATATGACAAAAAAATTTTAGTTATTTAAATTAAAACTTCAGCCATCCAAGTAAGTGCTATTAACCTTCGGTAAACTTCAAACCATCTCTCATTTTTTTTCAATCTACACCTCAAACAAACTATTCACCAAAGAAAAGAGATTCAGACAAATTTTTTTCAAAATAGACCAAGACACACAAGGAAACAGAAATCAGAGGGGACATACAAGTGTTTTCTTGTGGGTAACCGTTATTCTCTTAGACTTACATCCAAGAACCCGGAACACCAATTCAGCACCAACCTGTACAGAAAAACAATGCCACAGAGAAAGCAGAGCTTTAAAATTAATTATCAAGAACTTTTAAAATATAAGAATAACAGTTAGTTCACGATAACATCCTCATCTTTCCAGGTAAGGACCTTAAATTTTTTTCCAGGCTTTGAAATTTCAAACTCAGACATATGTCGGAGAGGACAAAGTGCCTTCACACCACCAGGAAATTGCACAATTGCACCAAAGCTGTCAACGGCTGTAACTTTAGCTCTCACCACCATTCCAGGCTTGACATCCGAATGGGTGAATACTGGCCCCTCAAAAGCACTTTCCTGTTTGATAGGAAAAGAAGGATAAAAAAATGAAGACCAAATATGCCAAACAACAATCAACAAACATTTAGTGATGCACATAAATCTTCAGACAATGAAAATGATATTGTATAAACACTAAGACAGTTGAAATTGGTGGTGGAATGGACACCAGTTCTAGAACCAACACCTATTGCAGAATTTTTAGAACTATCTTTAACATGACAAACACCAGCTCTCACTATTTTCAAAAAAGTTTATTTGCTTGAATGCTATAAGCACACTGCAGCATCAAAGTTTCACATTACAGAAGTATTCAATTTCCAAAGTACTTGATGAGTTCAAACCAACCTTCAAAATCCCAGTAGCAAGTCCCTCCAAGTGTCTGAACCCAAGAATTCGAACACGAACACAGCTCCCTTCCTTGAACTTTTTATCTAGTTTCCGGACGTCATCCTCAGCCACATCAAATATCTGCAGTTAATGCTATAAAACATGAAAAGCACAAAACCAAAAGTCTGATTTACTGGGAAAATGATGAACAGCACAAGCTAAACATACATTAGCATATGCTGGAGTTGATGCTGGAGCAGAAGGAATATCAAGAAGAAGGCCCAATCCTCTGTCAACTCGGACTATTTTTGATTGATCATATATATCCCCAGTCGTAACATGCTGCACCAGGAAAATAAAAGAAAGTCCATAACAGGGTAACACAGAGTATAAATAAACCTAGTCAGTTTCTAGACAAGAATTTTCATCTCTTCACTACAACAACCATGAGTAAGGTTACATAGAAAGAAGCAACAGAAAAAGGCAAGAGAGAGAGAGAGAGAGAGAGATGAAATTGGCAAAAACCAAATGAAATTCTATCTTTCCGGCCTCAGAAAACAAACATCAATAGTGCACCAACATCAAGGCGCTTTAAGTCATTTTCATTGCATGGAAAGCCACCATAGAAGAACTAACTATGTGGAATCTTTGGAGATCAATAATAAAGTAGTGGGGGGCATGAGCAGTTAAGGAGAGAGGCCAGGGATTATTTTTATAGACTATATAAAGAAGAAGTGGGATGGAGACCTAAGCTTGATGGGTTGGAGTTTAGGGACTAGGATGACGCCAGCAGGTTTGAGTTGGAGAGAGTTTTTTCTGAGGATGAGACCTTCGATGCCCTCAAGTCATGTAAAAAATATAAGGCACCTGGTCCGAACGGTTTCAACATGGGTTACCTTTAAGAATTTTTCCATGTAATAAAGAAAGGCATTGTGAACCTCAATGATCTTCCAATAGGGGTGTTGTCAGAGGTGATTTCAATATGATTTTAAGAAGTTCTGAAAGGTCAGGCAGAACTATGTCTTCACAATCTGATATAGAGGAATTTCAAAAGTTTATTGACAATTCGGATCTCAATGATCTTCCATTAAAAGGGGGCCGGCGGACTTGGAGCAATCAAAGGGAACATCCATCTTATTCAAGAATTGACAGATGTCTAGTTTCATTCAACTTGCTTCTTGAACTAGCTGGGATCAATCAAAATGTGCTCTCTAGACCCACTTCAGATCATTTCCTAATCATGCTCTCCTCTAACGGAATCAAATGGGGTCTCATTACATTCAGAATTGATAATAATTGGCTGGGTAATGACAGCTTCAAATCCCTGGTGATAAATGTCTAGACTCATACTCATATTTCTGGCACTATCAGCTTCAAGATTGCTCAAATATTAAAAAAACTTAAAATAGAAATCAAAACTTGGGCGAAAAATGCATGCAGAAGGAAAGAGGAAAACATCAACAACATCCTATCAAAGATTGATTTCCTTGACAGAAAAGAGGAAAATGTTTCATTGTCTATATCTGATACGAATAAAAGGATTCCTTGAAAGCTGATTTGGCACAAAAACTACATTTAGAAGCAATTTCTTGGAAACAGAAATCAAGAGACAAGAACAAAAATTCTAAATATTTTCACATGTTAGCTAACCACAGAAGAAGAGTAAATTTTGTTGACGAACTTGTTGTGAATGACAGATGCATCAAAGGTAATGAAACTTTGAGAGACGGGGCAAAAAAACACTTTCAAAAATTGTTTTGTGAAGAATATAACTAGAGGCCCAATCTTGACAATCTCCCATACAATAGTTTAAGTGATGGTGAAAGAGATCAGCTTGAAGAAAAATTCACTGAAGAGGTAATCTTGGGCAGCCTTGAGGAATGTGATAGGGACAAAGTCGCAATGATTTCTACAGCCACAACACCTTTGTAAAATCAACT